TCGTTTGATGATCTGTTCAACTGACTTTGCATGAACTATACCATACGTTCAGGTTAGGGTATCAGTGTTAGGTTATTTAATCAACATTTTTCTAACCTCTTGGACTATCGGATGAACCTCATGAGGTTGTACAAACTTCCTACCTTACGATAATGTATTGTAATGTAATGTATATTGCAATCTGTTTAATTCATCAACCTGCGAAAGATAAAATAATAAAAATACCCAGCGTTCCGTATAACTGATTCCAAAACCCTCTTAGAACCATATCAAAATTCATCAAAGTGTGTCGCTATTATGAATCATAAACTTAGATTTCAATCAGATACGAGCCCGGACTGGTGATGCCATATTCACTCATTCCTGGACATCATTGATGGAACACCGCAGGAAAAACAGCGACTTTTCACTTTTCTATGGGTTCTGCCACGGGAAATGATGATCTCGGCTAACAGTTCATCACTATAACAGATAACAGAAGGATAACAGGCAGCACATAGAACGACTTTTTGTCGTCAACCATGCACGAGGTAAGTCACAGAGCTCCAGAATTCTCTGCCTGATGAGTATACTTTCAAAAGTTCAAAAAAATTCCATTACCAATATTCTCTCTTCATATTTCCTATAGGTACGCGCACGTTGTTTTGCGAAAATAATAGGAATTTCCTCTCGTGCACTCCATAAAATCGAAAAAAAATATTGATGTGTCGCATTTCAATTACGAAACTATTTTCGAATGTCATGTTCGCATGGTGTATGGAGTGAAGACAACGTTATCAACTTGTTCTTTGATAGTTGCATAAGTAAGTGACCATATAAGCCTCTCTAGATATATAAAATAATTTCTTGTAACTTTAAAACCTTACATTAGATGAAAGTCCGTATATACTACTAATAGTATATTATGTAGAAAGTGTTATGAACGTCATTTTAGTAACGAGAATTCTGAGCACGCGCGCAGCAGAGCGTTACATACTATACTTTTTCTACGAACTCATAATATTCCTCTCTTCGACAAGATCTCATAATTCTGAAAATTAAATGATAACCTATCTGCTAACCTACAAAATAATTCAAAGGGAATGAGAATTAAGAAAATAATACATATAATACTATGCAACTGCATGGAAGTGAGTAATGAGACACGTTTAAGTTATATTGGTTGTAGATGTGCGTCCAGTCCATAGGATAGATGAATTTCTATTGAAATGACTTGTTTACTGACCTTCGTGAATGAGATTTCATGTGACGTAGTAGATAAAAACTATTCGATTCGCTAAGGTGTCAAAGTTTTCGATTTCTCAGGTTTGTATCCACATTCTGATTGCATAATTCTGCTCACATGAATATCGTGCTTCACGTTTATTGTCATACCTAACATACATAACAATTGCCCACAAAGATGACAGCTTAATTTGTACCTAGAGTTCTTGGAAATACCTACCTAAAACATTCTTTTCGATTTCACTATCGTCTACATTTCGCATACATTTTTGATGAAGAATTCTGATATTAACGAAAATTGTTTCAATAATTCAGATCGCAACACAATTCGGAAATGACATTTGACAGTTCTTGCAATTGACAGACCGGATAGGAGAGGACTGAAGCGACTGAAGGTGTGTTTAAAAATAGTAGATTCTTTTATTAGGATCAAAAGTGACACTTTCTTTGACATGCGAATTTTGCATTTGCGACAAGGAGCGTTTAGCGAAGCCGAGCAGAAGCAGAGTTTGCGAGTCAAACAGAGTCGATTTTGATCCGAAAAAAACCTGCTATTTTTTCTGCAACCGAAACACTTGACTCAAATAAATATGTGAAGTAACCACCAATGCCGTGCCATATGTATGCAATGCAACAAATATTGACAAATAATCCATGTAGTGAGAATATTCTACCTGCATTAACAGCAGGTTAAGTTCTCTAGGATGTTCGAATTGTAGTTTCATATAAATACAACCACAGAGTGACATATTTGTGTATGGACCAGGTGCTTTAATGGCAAATACCACGCCAGTGCCAGCTATAGGAACAATAAGACGTGGAAAATGTTAGGTTAGTGAACATATCAACAATGATGAAAGTGATTATTTATTCCTCTCCATACTACACTGTGTTTGGCTTGATGATCAAATGATGCTAAACAACATCGTTGTTTGAGAGAAAAAACCGATTGCTTGCCGTGATTATACAAAAACAAGTTATCCATCCCGAGAATAACGAATGAAATACAGATCAAGCAAGTATTTGAATCTTGAAGGCTTCCCTGATCAAAACAAATATACTTAACTGAGATGTTTATAATTCCAATACCAAACTATTATAATAAGGTGTATTTATATCTCCAGCATGAGGACTGAAGCGACTGAAGGTGTGTTTAAAAATAGTAGATTCTTTTATTAGGATCAAAAGTGACACTTTCTTTGACATGCGAATTTTGCATTTGCGACAAGGAGCGTTTAGCGAAGCCGAGCAGAAGCAGAGTTTGCGAGTCAAACAGAGTCGATTTTGATCCGAAAAAAACCTGCTATTTTTTCTGCAACCGAAACACTTGACTCAAATAAATATGTGAAGTAACCACCAATGCCGTGCCATAATATGTATGCAATGCAACAGATTAATAATCCGTGTGGTGAGAATATTCTACTTGCATTAACAACAGGATTATTCAATCTTCAAGGATGTTCGAACTGTAGTTCATTCAATATAAATACAACCACAGAGTGACATATTTGTATATGGACCAGGTGCTCTCATGGCAAATACCGCACCAGTGCCTGGTATTAGAATATCGATTATTTATTCCTCTCCAAACTACACTGTGTTTGACTTGATAATCAGATGGAGGTAATTAATATCGTTGTTTGAGACAACAAACTATTGCTCGTCGTGAATATTCAAGAACAAGTTATCCATCCTGAGAATACTTAACGAATGAAATACAGAACAAGCAAGTATCTGAATCTTGAAGGCTTTCCTGATCAAAACAAAAATACTTGTTTGAGATGTTCATAATTCCTATACTCAACTATAATAAGGTGTATTCATTACTCCAGCATGGGTATGAAATGTCAAATCTGCCGAGATCTGAAACAAATCAGTCAAGCGTCCCAACCCTAATAACCAACCGTAACAATGTTTTTCTGCAACCGACACAAAAGTCGTCCATTTTGATACCAAAATTAGCTCTTAAATTGACGTTTCTATTACTGACACAAAAATAGGTATGTTGCTAGGCAACATATTTAGTTCCTAGGAGCTAAAGTTGAATTTTAGTTCCTAGGAGCTAAAGTTGAACTTTAGCTCCTAGGAACTAAAAAGGATGTACTGGACGTCATCGATAATGAACAACATTGTGACGGTTGGTTATTTGGGTTGAGGCGCATACCTGATTTGTTTCCGATTTCAGCAGATTTGGCATTTCATACCCATGCTGGAGATATAAATACACCTTATTATAATAGTTTGGTATTGGAATTATAAACATCTCAGTTAAGTATATTTGTTTTGATCAGGGAAGCCTTCAAGATTCAAATACTTGCTTGATCTGTATTTCATTCGTTATTCTCGGGATGGATAACTTGTTTTTGTATAATCACGGCAAGCAATCGGTTTTTTCTCTCAAACAACGATGTTGTTTAGCATCATTTGATCATCAAGCCAAACACAGTGTAGTATGGAGAGGAATAAATAATCACTTTCATCATTGTTGATATGTTCACTAACCTAACATTTTCCACGTCTTATTGTTCCTATAGCTGGCACTGGCGCGGTATTTGCCATTAAAGCACCTGGTCCATACACAAATATGTCACTCTGTGGTTGTATTTATATGAAACTACAATTCGAACATCCTAGAGAACTTAACCTGCTGTTAATGCAGGTAGAATATTCTCACTACATGGATTATTTGTCAATATTTGTTGCATTGCATACATATGGCACGGCATTGGTGGTTACTTCACATGTTCATTTGAGTTAATTGTTTCGGTTGCAGAAAAAATAGCATGTTTCATTCGGATCGCTAAACGCTCCGCCTCGCAAATGCAAAATTTGCTTGTCAAACAAAGTGTCACTTTTGATCCTAATAAAACAATCTACTATTTTTCTTGGTGACGTCTGGTACATCTATTTTAATTCCTCTAGGAACTAAAGTTCAACATCAGCTCAAAGGAACTGAATATGTTGCCTAGCAACATACTAATTTTTGTGTCAGTAATAGATAAGTCACTTCAAGAGCAAATTTTGGTACTGAAATGGCCGACTTTTGTGTCGTTTGCAGAGAAACTCTTTTACCATTGTAACGTGGTTAATATTTTGAATAAATCACATATCTTCAATCCGTGATCAATCGATCATTAAGAGTGTGGTACATATCCGTACGCTAAATGCCATTTTAGTTATGTGAGTAGAAAAAAATATTATGAGAAATCCAGTGCTCAAGATTGCAGAGATATAAATCAGAAACTCATCTACGTATCATCGTGCACTACCGCCGATATCTGATATATAAAGATATTATCGTTTCCTGTAATATTCGATTCCGACATAAGGTAATAATTTTTTATGTTCCTGCATGGCTTTGGATGCGATGTTGATAACTTTGTGTATCGTATCTTCATGGAAGGATCAGCATGAAATTCGGCAAAAAATTCATTAACATTCCGTGCTACATTTTGTTCAGAATGACTAAAATAATAAAATCATCGAAATTCGACAGGGGTTAGTTCACTCTATGAAACTTACGGCATCATTTTCTTCTTCAGACATTGATGAAAAATGTATTCTACATATAAATATTCAATGTCTTTTTATTATTGTTATTATTATGATCAGTATAATTATTAATGCGTTTTAATTTATGAGATATTCGGTAGCGGAACATGGAAATTGATTGATGCTTCGTTGAAAAAAGTAACCTTATCTATCAAATACTGTCCTGCTCTCTGAGGCGATTGGGATTGAAATATATATAAAGGTAATAAAACTACGAAAACCATTCAATTCAGTATAGTCCTTCGATTCATTATATTAGGATAAAAATATATATATTCAAATATGTACAAGACAAGTGTGTATATGATTCTATTCTTTATAGCAGTGGAATTTTCATCTGCATCTTTGAAACCTGAGGTGAGTACAGTGAGTAAATAATATAATATGTCGCAACAAGCAGCATCATTACTTGAAATGCTGTTTTGGAATCTTTACATTTTTTAGCAAATCAAACAATTTTGATGTTGAGTGAGGAGTCGCTTGAAACGTACCGCGTACGTACTAAGTTTCATTTGGCATCATAATATGTGATGCATAAAATGACCAAGAGGGTACAAAACTGAACATTTTGTAGATATTCGAAATCATCCCCAATATAACTATATCCCTATCCACTTCGATGACCTTCCATTTTTGAACTCATTAGTTTGTCTTCATTGATTCATGAGATTTGTCATCGAAATTCCAGAATCATTTCAAAAAAAATGAGACGTTATAATAAATACACTCAAGTTCAGTGTTCTGATATGAATTTTTGGTTTCATCTATGGTTTCATCATCTGTGCTGATTCCTATAGACTTCACCTGGTGTTGCGTTTTCTCAACTTTCCCGCAGAAATCTGTGAGTTTCATATCAGTTGGTTTTCTATCGTCTTGTGCATAATCCCCACAGATGTCCCCCCCTTCACTTGGTATATTTTTTTTTCCAAAATGGAAGCTTTTGGGAGAAAGCTGAAAAAGCGACTTTTTCGTAAGGCCCGAAAATATTTTTCGTATTAGTTATCCCGCCCCACATAATGAAGTATGATAACTTCAACAATTGTTGATTGTATGATTTTTTGAGTATTTTCAGTCATTCCATCTCCAATTTCCTTGTAGGTGATATTTTCTTGTTTTCGGGAGCCTGATGATGGCATATATATGCCGGAAGCATGTTCCTCCAACCCTTAATTCGGGAAAATATACTTCGTGGATATGACTGTACGATTTTCTACTGTTAATGTTTTCGGATCATAATATTTTTTTATGGTTTATGCAATAATTGGTATAGGCTATTGGTGATCGTTAAGTTAAGAAGAATTAGACCATTCCAACTGTCTTGCTTGAAATTGAAGAACCCTTACGGTAAATGACTATTCAAATATAATTTCAAATTCTCAATTTATCTCCCTTATTATTCATTCATGCATTCGAGTTGAAATCGATATCCTATTGAAAAGTCGAATTATTGAAAAAAACTGATATGAATTTCAAACTCTGACGTCCAGTAAGGCGAACATTTGTCCCAGAAAAAGATAGCCTTGAGGAACGTCATATTATTTTTCTTCCAAGAATACCTACACGTCTTGGAGACGTATATTTGGGCAACAGGTGAATATCTCAGTAAGTGCGGCAACTTCTTCAGTTCTTCCGGAATTATATTTAACTTCCTCGTTCTAAATAGAATACCCTGTATTTTATTGGATTTTTTCCTCTGAAGCTGATTTCATAGATCGATCACACTTATGGTCTAGCGGGAATTCAACTTTAGGATATTTTTATGTCGAAACTATTCATTATAGCTCGAAACAGGTTCAATAAATCTATCTTAACTTTTGATTTACTATCTACTGACATGTGATTGGAACAGATACATGGTGATCAGAATTCTGGATCTTGAACCATCCTGTATTTGTTCCAATTAAAAAAGTCACTAGAACGCAAATCAAAAGTTAAGGACATACATGTGATCCGTTTTAACCAATAATGAATGATTTCGACACAAAAAAAATCGTATAGTTGAATAATCTCGGTTTAAAACACCCTATAATATCTCTGTAATCATTTTCTATAGATTCCAAGTATGATAGATCGATGAGATCAGCTTTTCAGGGAGAATCTGAAAATTCTATTCAAAATGAGAAATTCCGGAATAACTGAAAAAGTGGCAACATTGGCGATAACGTAACCAAATCCGCCATGTTTTGATATCACCTAGACATACATTCGGAAAAAATCTAAAGAACGGTTACAGATAATATGTTCACCTGTTTCCATACTTTTGCATCATCCTGTATACTGTTGAGAAATTGACCTCCTTCTCTTCACGGACCCCTTGAATATAGGCAAATATCGGGTGAGAATACCACATTCGCCACTCACAGGTTTAGGATATGTTTGTCTAAAACCATTGAAAATGCCATTGTTGATGCGTTTCAGATCTCGAATATCGATTACCTTTTACAAATATGATCACAATAACAAGATATTATTTTGAAATTTCGAAATTATTCTACAGATTAGATAATAGGTAGATATCAGACTATGAAATACGAATTCGTTGGAAATTGATTTGGGTTGGTACCGACTATTGAGAAAAGAGAAAACCCAAAAATTAATGAGAACTATAGGAGCAAAGCAGTGGCAATTTATAAAGAAAACGTTTCCTTTACAGGAACTTGGAGAGAACCTTTCGAAACTGGCACCAGTGTTACACAATACTTGTGTCAAAAAAACAGGAATACCCGAAGCTACAATATCAAGCATGAGAGGAGGAAATTTTGAAGAAGAAGACAAATCAAAGGTAAATATTGGTAACATATGAGAATTTGAAATCTTCCATAAATTGAAGCGATAAATGGAGTGAGTATAATAGAAGATGAAAAAACTAAATCAAATAATTGATTTTTTTTGCTGGAAGCAACAAATTAATATCGATGCTTTTTGCACATAAAGCAAACAACATTTTTTCGATCGATTTACATTAATTTTTATTTCAAAATTTCTTCAGGAGTCATTTATAAAACCATAAATGTAATAGTGAAATTGTTCTACAATAACATATGAACAAATTAAACTAAATCATTTTTATAAAACCATATTCATCTGCTTTTTGAGTTTATATCAATTTCAATATTGCGGCTAGTGCAATTTACTAAGAACAAACTTCATTCTCCGTAATTTCTTCAATAATATATATCAAATTTTATATAACTTTTTGAGGAATAATGAATTTCATGCACGATGGTCCTAGAACATTGAAGGTATTCTCTTTCGTGCTCTCCAAGCGAAAAAAAAAGTGCGCAATATGCTACTTCGTAGATCGAGAACTGATTTTTTTAAGGAGGCGCAACCGAGTGAAACAAATGGGGGGCAATGGAAATCGATAAAGTCAAAAGAAGCCGTTAAATAGTTATTTGTGAAACTAGTGAAAACAAGGGCGTTTGTTGCATGATGCGTGAAAGTTCACTTCAGAATAAGTCGTATATAATATAGTATAGGATACTTATAACAGAAAAAAAAAACGGAAGAATAATCCAGAATTCCCTAACAACTTACAATCATTTCTAGACGAAAGGAAAACCTACCAGAAAAATCACATACTGTAGGTTGATTTGCTAGTGCAGTAATGCTGAAAAAACAGTATTTTGTTGAATACAATCCCTATGGCCATAACATAATATATTTTAATAATCAATAGAGAAAAACCCAAAGTCGTCTCCACAATCTTTGATGTATAATAAGGCAGTCAATCCTGTTTCATTGAGGTTGATACATGTTTCGGCCATTCGAATGGCCATCTTCAGTCAAAAGAATAACAAAGTGTATCTACAATAGAAAACCAAACATGATTTTATATATAAGACAAAATTGAAAATGGAAAAGACAACAGTTGTAAATTCAAATTGAATTGATTAACGAATTTCAGTTAGATCAAAGAGCAACAGTGATTTTTATGAGTATAACAATGATAATTGATCCGTAATTGATAATAAAAAGTGGAAAACGAAATTTTTATCAAATCAAAATTCTGAAAAACAGAATGGAGAACCATAGATAAGAAGGTTGTACTCACGTGGAAATTACTTCGATGCATCGTGAAGGCGAAAAAATTTTATTACTCAATCATCATTCATTATTTGTATTATCTATTGAAAATGGAGTGATAATAAATAATACAAATAATAAATGATGATTGAGTAATACAATTCTTTCGCCTTCACGATGCATTGAAGTAATTTCCACATGAGTACAATCTTCTTATCTATGATTCTCCATTTTTTTTCAGCATTTTGATTTGATAAAAATTTTGTTTTTCATTTTTTATTATCAATTACTGATCGATTATCATTGTTATACTCATAAAAATCACTGTTGCTCTTTGATCTAACTGAAATTTGTTAATCAATTCAATTTGAATTTACAACTGCTGTCTTTTCCATTTTCAATTTTTTCTTGTACTTATATAAAATCATGTTTGGTTTCCTATTGTAGATACACTTTGTTATTCTTTTGACTGAAGATGGCCATTTGAATGGCCGAAACATGTATCAACCTTAATGAAGCAGGATTGACTGCCTTATTATACATTAAAAATTGTGGAGACGACTTTGGGTTTTTCTCTATTGATCATTCCACTCCACTTTGAGTATGGACTACTACAGAAGATATTTTAATAAATCCTTGGACAGGTCGATTTTCGTTTTCGGATATGTATTTTTTCAATAACATTTGTCAACCACCTGACGACCTCCTACCCTTCAGATCAAAACCTTCAAAATGTTTAAATTGTACTATGGGTCATACTAAATTCGTTTGGGCGGGTATACCCCCATTGCGCCTATTCTACCTGGTCTAATCTGGGACTCAAAAGAGCCCGGAATTCCTGATTGACCCAGTTTCGCCTATGGTAAAAATAAGCCTAATCTATAGACTCAGCAGGTTATCAACACCCCCTACCCTAACAAATGTTTCGAAATCCTAAGCCAAGAATGTGTAGCTGAAGCTGAAGCTAGTAGTTACAGAACAACGGAGTGCTGTGAATCCTTTCATTCTGATTCAACTTGAAGTTTGTATGCACCTCATCCGAATATTTTTAAATTTGTTCAAATATTGAAGGAATTTCGAACTGAAACTAACATTGGAATTAATAGTATTCATATACCAATTAAAATCACAAATGAATCGTATAAAGACAGAATTCAAATCTTAGCCAAAAACATGAATATGTTAAAACATGGACAAATTGAGAGGTTCGATTTTGTAGAAATTGCGTCTTAGCATTATAATGAAATCTGTACATAAATAAATGTCTTGTACACTTTGGATAAATGTCTTATATACTTTGTCAATGATTAGGTATTTCAGTTGAATAGTGTAGTTTTATTGTACTGAATGTACATCTACGCATATGAAGAATGTATGTAGAATGTGAATGGTATATATAAACTTATCTTTTTCATTGTATGTACATAGGCGTAGACAGACAAGCTGTACGAAATATCAAATTCAAATGTAGGTAAATTAGCTGTAAAAGTAATACATTAGAACAGCAGCTATCAAGTCCCATAAATTCAGACAAACATTCTAATGAATCTTCAATCTTTCAACTGTTCTCTTGCGGATATACCTCGACCAAATTTAAGTAAATGAGACCGTTGTATAGAGATTTGGAATACCTATAGGTAAGGTTGGGTTAGGTTCCATGTGAGTGGGGCGAATATCTCCCCTCCACTGCGACCCCAGATGGGTCTATTTTGGCTCACCCTCTTTTTACAAAGTTCATGGTTGAATTGGGTGAGATTCGGTGAGATTTTTGGCTGAAATCGATAGGTTCTAAATTGGTAAAGCCAAATGTGTCCAACCTTAGTCTTTCTAAGCTAGAGCATGAACATAATATGTGTTCAGCCGTTTAGTCTTCCACACAACAGAACCGACAGTCCGTCTGTTGGTTCAGACCCATCCCAGGTGGTATTTCAGACGACAATGTCCCGTAAGCAGTCAGGAATACCGCTATAACTAAAAATGTTTCAGTCAAAAAGCCGATTTCCAACCATATAAATCGACGGGTCCGAGGACTTTTCAAAATATATTTTTGTTTTATAGAGATACGGATTTTATTTTCACACAGTTTTCCACACAATATAATATATAATAATCGGGAAAAAATATCACGTATTCATAAAACGCCTAAATTTTTAGATTTGCGTACATAAAAAATTCCGGAAGTTTTGCTCTTGGTGAGCCGACATGCAATATATGATATTGAGTTATTCGATTACATAATAGTTGTGAACTGTGATCTCGATTGACATTAAGAAAGGTTTTTTGTGATTTGTTTTGTAATTCTGAATCATACAACACTATTATATCATTTTATTTATCGCAGCAGGTCCGAAGACACCCTGTGGAATAAAGCATTTCAAAAAAATTTCTTTTTTATAGGAATATGTCACATGCATATGGCTGGAATCCCAAATTGTGAGTATAGAAATTTTATTTTCAGATTTCGATTACTGCCACAGGAAAGTAACGAAAGATGACGATATTACTAACAAATTTTTAATTTTTCGATACCCATATAAAAAGATTTGTCAATTGGATTATGCACTACAATTTCTTCTCAACTGAACGTGAAAAATAATTATAATATCTCTTACAAAACAACAACCTTTGTGTGATAAGTACAGAAAAAACATTTGAAAGTTATTCTGAGAGCACCTAAATAAAATCATGTACATACCTATATGATTATTTTTTTTCAAATGATTTTTTACACAGATAATAGATAATTCCTGATGAAGAACGTATTGTATCTATATGATATCTTCATGAAAATTGTAACAGATATTCTCAACATGCTGATGATATTAGTTTTTTGCTTAAAAAATGAGTGATATCAATAGTGGATTTTTTAAATTTTGATCCGATCATAGTATATCGTGTAAAATGAGAAAATTGAGAAAGTAGATCGCATTTAGCAAATGGAAATTGAAGTTGGTCGACGAATTAGAAAATACACAGGTGGTGCAGCTCACACTCAGAGAAAAAGTCGGTAGTAAATACCAGACGTTTAGAAAAATAGGCGCCACTACATTCATCGAATAATACCACAACAAAATTATATCATACTATACTATAAGTATCATACTATTTTGTAGTGGTAATATTTGATATAATATAGTATTATACAATTTTGTATTGGTATTCAATGTATATATGGTATAATTTGAATCTCAGACAAATTCTCGGCTTCCAGAACCCCTCCATACCATCCAAAGCATGCCTAACCATTTAATTTTTCATCAGTCAATGAATGCATGTATCAAAATTTGACGAGATCAGAAGCTTGAAATGATTGTTTTGTCGACCAAATAGTTTTCTATGTGTATTGAAGATGCATTTTTCAACATAACAGATATAATATTCAATATTTTGTAGTATTATTTTATGTTTATTTTCTATTATTCATGTTTAGGAGGTCAAATTCGAAGGTATGACGTTTTTCTACCAATTATGCACTTTTCCTGTCAATTTTTTCTTCACAAGATGCCTCCAATGGGATATGCTACAAGTAGTACCAGGACAATTCCAATAACAACCTTCTCACCCTATCACTAGGTACGCGATAAGTAACACAATGAGTTCCACGAACATGTATTGAAGTCCCTGCCACAGTGTCACAGGATTCTGAATATTGAGGAAAATCGGATTGTTTATTATGCCTAAATATGATGCCTGAAAAAATATCAATCGACGTGCATTGGCAGTTCATCATGAATATGTCTTCCTGAATTGAATTAAGCGGAACTATACTCACCCTGTTTTTTTATGTTCTGATTCCCACAAAAAGGTATATCCTGTAATGTTCAGAGAACATCGTGAGAACCAAAGGAAATAAAATAGGAATTGGTGTTCATCTCAAATTTCTGGAGGTTGAATGCCTCGGGGAACACCTCCTTTGGCTATGTGTTCCAGAGCCTCGCTGTTCGTTGGATGAACGAGTCTTTGGAAAGAGATATTCTACAGGTCTCCAAAGTGACCACGAAGGGGTGCAAAGCCTCAACTCGACGGGTTAATCTCGCGGGGACTGCCAAGTGAAGAACAATTATTGTTGATATCTCAGAAGAGCATCGTCCATGGAAATATAGAGCCAGATCGCCAACTTTTTGGACAGAATCCAACAGTTTCAGGGTATGTTTGGGTGCTGCACTCCAAATATGGAAACAGTTTTCCAGGACAGGTCAGATCTGTGCCTTAAAGCTCATAAGCAGCTGACTGGAAGTGAAATAGCTCCTGGCCCGAAACAGAAAACTAAGTTTTCGGGATGCACTTTTAGCAATTGATCTCACGTGATTTTCTCAAGGAAAGTTATTGCTGATAGTGGTACCTAGCATCGAAATGGATGTCTTCAAAGGTATGGTTACTCCTTACAAGTTCAAGTTGGACACAGTGAGTTCGGATTTTATAGGAACAAGGCATGCCTGTGTATCGTTTGCATAAGTTAGTTATTGGATCCCCATTCGAGAATAATTGTTGCCAAGTCCATATTTATGTTGTCAACATTTCTCCCTCGTTCGTTTCTGATTTGCCTGGCAGGTAGAAATGGTATTGTTGCTAGAATTGATCCTTGCGGAACACCAGCATTTATGATAAGAGAGTCAGATGAAACTCCGTCGACCACTACATGGAGATACCTGTATGAGCGAAAACTAGCCAGCAGAGAACATAGCTGGGGAGACAAGCCATAAGATGGAAGCTTGGCGAGGAGCCCGGGGTGCCAGACTCGATCGAATGCCTTGGAGATATCAAGTGCCACGGCTAAGGTTTCACCATATTTTTCAATAGATTGCTGCCATATATGTGAGACGTAAGCGAGCAGGTCACCAGTTGATCTCTGATGACGAAAGCCATATTGCCTATCGTTGATAATACCTGAGTATTCCAGGTATTTCATGAGGTCGATGTTAAAAGCTTTCTCCATAATATTTGACATACCTAATAGATAGCAGATGCGATTGGTCTGTAGTTGCTATAGGTAGGATTTTTTTGCTTTTTTTAGGAACTGGTTGTACACTTGCAATTTTCCAGTTGGACGGGGATATCCCCTATTCGTAGGAGTAGTCGAACAACTTGCAGAGAACAGATGTTAGTTCAGGAGCACAGTCCTTGAGGACAATCGGTGGGATTCCGTCGGAGCCACAAGCTATTTGTTGTTGTTGAGACCCAATGAAATCTTCCTTATAGTACGTTTTCGAAAGGTGATCTCGGGCATATGACTGTCAATTGACGTTATGTTTGGAGGTTGTTTTCCCGATGAATCTGGAGTGAAATTTTCAGCAAATAATTGTGCAAAAATGTTGTCTTTCTCCTGGGCAGTTGTGGCTAGTGTAGCATCTTCCTTGGTTAGAGGAGGAAACGAGCTGAAAGTGAAGTTTCTTCCAATTGCTTTGGCGAAGGACCAGAATGAACAGGATACGTTCGGACATTCAACAAGTTTTGATCTTATTTTGGCATTATGAGCAGCCTACGATAATCGCATTGTCTCATTGCATAATTATGTCTCTAGCCTCGACATATTCTGCTCTAGTCTTAGGGCCTGGATTTTTTTGCCATCGATGGAATGCTGCCTGTTTGGAAGCGACAGCTCTAGAGCAGTTCCTACTGAACCAGGCCTTATCGGAAGATATTCTTGCAGTGTTCGGTATGTAGGTTTGCATCTCCCAACATGATGATTTCAGAAATTGTCTCAGCACATCCTGTTGGGTCTGCTGAGGAGAAACAATCTCTCTTCCATGGAAACGCTGAATATAATGTGTGCGATTCGAAACCGCAAAACTCTCGTAATCTGGAATGCGTTGACTAATGTCGATCAAAATGAAAACCTTACTAACTACCTAACTCATTTTGAAAACTTGAAATGTCGAAATGTTGGTAGTACTCATATCGTGTGATCAAATTTGATATATTCATTTTTTGAAAACCCGTTTTTTTTGTATCTTTAGCCTATTTGATTCGGTCATATCTCAAGAATAATACTCACTCTTGTACAAATTGAAAGCGTGATATCTCATACACGGTATGTATATTTCACAAAGGCTAATTTCGAAATTAATGCTCTTGTATCTGATCCTGTACGAAAGCAAGAAAAAGTCCTTGAAGTTTATATCACCAAAAGTGGCTATCAGTCCAAATCTCTTATTTTAAAAACATTTATCAATGGAATCAGTATCAAAAAACTCTAACCAGAATTAATATTTCTCATTTTCAGATCAAACCTGATGGTACTCTAAACAGGGATCGCATGATGGAACTTTGCCCTCCTCAGATAAAAGAAACAGGTCCGAAAATAGTATTAGGATGTTGGGAGCAAGTTGAAGGTCAGTTTTTGTTTACATCTACAATAACGCCATTCTGTTCACTGAAATAATTCAATTTGAGGATTCGGTGCATAGACAAAAATTTGGAGTTGATGAATATTAGGACCTGTCAAGGGTGAACACTATCTGAGGGCCCAATTCACTCGAACGTGAAAACAAAGTTTCCCTCCATAAACTATGACAAAAATATCCTTGACTAACTACGGAACGTCTCTAAAAAAATATAGTGGTTTGAAAAACTGAAAATCACACTTTCATATGTACAGCGAAACAAAAACCAGCAGAAAACGATAGCTATTTATACAACAAGTGCAAGAAGTACCTAAGTGTTCATTGCACGCGTTGTAAATTTGTCAAACGAGGCGGTTATCCCTCCCGTCATTTACCACACCTGTTCGAATCAGAAATCGAAGGGTCTGAGCATTGTTCCATATTTTCATTTTAGAGCCCTGAAATCGGGGTTTGAAGTTTTCGTTGGACCACCCTGTATAAATGGAAGAAGAATGCTATTTCTTTTCTGACGAGTATGCGAAGAGCGTATGTAGTACTGGGCCGGCCATGCATAATTTGAAGCAAATTATACAGATTATTAGCCCAATCGTTACATATACCGGGTGTTTCTCAAGAGTGACTCACCCCTATAACCCCATAACAAATGCAATTCGCTTTGTGAGTACAGTCCACAAATATGCATTGATAGACGTATTCAATTGTTTTCTGTCACTTCCTGTTTAGCCGGAAATGACCCTTATTTTCTTATTTTAAATGGAAAACTTGGTATGTTTTTACTTATCTCGATGAACAATGACATTGTGAGTACGATGACACCCCATTTGCCACTTCTTGACATTTACTATTCTGAAATTTTCATTTTCAAATTTTCCATCTAGAGTGAATATGATATTATGATTCAAAATATCGATCATGTGGTATCAACGTGTTCGTAACAAAATACTCTTCTCAAATATCGTCATGAGCCACGCTTGAAATTGAAACAGGAAATTTTAAGATGATACATGTCTGAAAGTTGCAAATGTCGTGTAGTTGTACTCACAATGTTATTCTTAATCGGAGTAAGTATGAATATGCCGAGTATCCCATTCAAAATAAGAAAAAAAAGGGCCATATCTGGTCAAACCGGAAGTGGCAGGAATAATTGAATGAGTCAAATAATGTTTATTTATGTACTATACTCATACACCCAATGTCATGTGTTCATCTGTAGAAACAAAAGAATTGAAGAGGTGAGCCACTTTTGAGAAACACCCGGTATAGGGCATGTGAATGGCAACATGATTCGGCTATCGTACGTTTTCGCTAGTCTAGATTACCTCCGATTTGAAAGAATCGTGAAAAATTTTTCCAGAAATGTTTTTGAATAACGAAAATATGTTAAAATTATGATAACAAAGGGGATTGAAACCATTGAGTGGGACACCCTGTACAATAACATTTTGACACACTGTACAATAAAATTTTGACCACCCTGTATATGATCTGAAGGAACTGCTGAAAAAGCAATTCAGATTACAATGGCTAATCCATGTCAAATTTCAAATACCCGTATTCAGGAGTCAGCGGATGTGCTAATTTGATATCTCATTCTTTGTTTTAGAGGTGACTCCCCTGGAGAAGAGAGTATACGAACTGCAGAAATGTTTCTACAAATCTGATCCAGAGGTAGGGTGGAGCAAATATTGTCATTGAACTATTATCAATATAGCATTTCTTTCAATTTGCAGAATTATATTATGATTTGATGAGACGATGATACTGACCCGTAAATTGAGGCAGCCCTCCTGCGAGCGTGGATTTGGACTTAACTACATTAGAGTTTCCTCTTCGTTCTCAAGAATTATAAATTGAAACTTCGAATCATTAAACCTTTCGATTCAATAAATTCGTTTTTATTGATTACCCAAGTAGCAATTTGGCGACAACAACCACATAATACACCAAAACTAGCGTTGTACGTACTAGGTGTTGAAATTAGTCATTCATTGAACCACCGAACAACATCGTCCCAATGTTTAGCATGACTTAAATTGAAATATGACGTTGTTACAACGTTCACCCAACCAACTACAAAGTTGTAAGTATTTTGGAAATAGCAAAATGACGTTTCAATTTTGAATATGGTTAAGTGACAACTTTAGTTATTTGAACATTAAAATCTGAACATCTACTTGTTCACAACTGACCTATTTTTAGGACATGTCATGACATGATGAATGATGTCAGTGTCAATGTCGAAATTCCTCAAATTCTTCTGGATAGCTGAATGCCGAGGCATGTTGTTCTGAACATCTCCGGAACCAGAATAGTATGGTGTCTCTTATTCATGACTTAGGTGAACTCAAGTTATGGTGAAAAGCTTCCGAAATTGATAATAACACGAGCCTTCAAATACACTAATGGCTCCTATCAGGCAAAAAAAGAGATTATATCGTGTAAAAATTTCACAGGTACAAGCCTACATGAAGACAGAAAGATTGTAAAGTTTGATTTTTTATGCAAGAACAATCACCAACTTGCCCCTTTGTAGGGGGCCAGTATGCCCTGACCAGTTTCTTCCCATTCGTGTGGTAAGGGTTCTACCTATTGGTCTTCTTGCGTGCTTTTTATGTTCTGGAGGTGATATTACATTGAAAAATAATTATAGTTTGGTGAATGAACTAATGGCCCAAAATGTTTATCAAGGGAGATATCCTTCCAAAGTTGATTAATTCAAAATATTTTTTCCGCATAACTTCTAAACGGTAAAAGCCATCTATCAAATGTCCCACATAAATGTATCTTGATAGAACACATTTTTGCAATACTTTTACATTTGTGATACTGTTATAAAGGGTGTTTTCAGAGGATGGGTCATAATTTTTTGAAGACAAATTTTTTCTCGTATTCTTTTTGGTGAAAAAATTAAACTAGTTGATAGAGCAGAAGAGGTACATAAAAACGGTACCCTTATCAAAATACAAAGAATGTAACCGTTTTGGAGGTATTTCAGTTTTTGTAATGACATGATAATCAGCAGATCAATTCATCAGTTAATAATATTCTAGGTAGCCTCGTACATCTTGGACATTATTTTTCACACAATGTAACATTTGGAACACGTCGATCGGAAGACATCTCTGGATAACTGTTGGAGAAATCAGTTATGTAATATGTACTGTATATAAAACAACTGTTTATTTTAGTTGCTAATAAATAACGTTCATTTCAAGTTGTACTTTCCATATCAGAAGATATATTTTAGATTTTACCATAATATTAGCAATCCTGAAACACTCTGCTAACAGGTTATGGGCCCAGAAATACCCAGGAATATATCTAGAATATAAAAGTGAACAGTTAGAACCCAGCAAGTGAAACCCCCATTAAAAATATCAATATTTTTGACAGTTTTCAAAAATAGGAAAATATTCTGACACCTTTCAAGAAACAAGATATTTTTTCTTGAGAATCAACTACAATGGAGTATTTTCAAAGGCTAGCTGCTCAACTAGAGGAACTCAAAGCCCAATTAAAACAGAGAAGTACTAGTAGATCAACTACTACCGTTATTTCTTATTCAGTTGGCGGTCTATCTGAGAGCAAACATTTAGAAGGAACGAATTATAACGACTGGAAATTTTGGATGCGGAATTTTTTGGTTGATGCAGGTCTTTGGTGTTGTATTGAACCAAAACCAGGACAATCCGTAGATTCTGACCTCGATCAACGTACCCTTGCCAAAATCAATTTATCTCTCAAACCTTCAGCTGCAGCAGAGACAAAAAAGGCTCGAACAGCCAAGGAAGCATGGGATAATCTGAGGAAAGCGTACGAAGACAGTGGTGTGGTTCGCCTTGTTAGTTTATATTCAAGTCTGTTCAAAACAAAATTCGACCATTGTTCATCCATGCAAGAATATGTTGACAAAATCATAAAAATATCCGAGCAATTGGAGAATATTGGTGAGTCATTCAAAGATAGTGTAGTTGGAGGCATAATTTTGGGAGGACTGCCGGAGGACCATAAACCACTGACTTTGGGTATTCAAGGTTCAAAGCAAGCCACATCAACCGATTTTGTCAAGAATCTTCTTCTACAAGAAAATGTTGAAGAAGTTTCTTCAGAAGCAGCATTTTATAGTAAGAAATATTCAGCCAAGATAGTACAGAACTTCAGAAAAGGAACCAGATGTTACAATTGCAATGAATATGCAAATCACAAAGCAACTGAGTGTCCTAAGCCTAAAAGATCTAGCTATGAGAACAACCGTAAAAAGCAGCCCACTTCACTTCATGCCGTAATATGTTTCATGATTTTCAAGTGGACACTAGCCGAGATTTCGGCATTGCCAATGGTAATGAGCTTCAGTGTACTGGATATGGCACAGCCAAAATTGTTCTCAAAAATAACAACACTGTTTCAATTGATGATGTTGTCCATGCTCCGGATTTATCTTTGAACTTTTTGTCTGTTAGTAAAATCGTGAAGAAAGGAAGATCAGTCATTTTTGATCGAGAATATGGGTGCAGAATTACCAACGAAATGATTGAACTTGACTCTGGAGGGATCGTAGCTACAGCCTCAGAAATTAACGTCAGGTACAGACTTGACAGACAATCTTTCTCAATTCATTCTGTGAAGGTACTGAGTAACTATGAACTTTGGCATCAACGATTAGGCCATTTAAATGAATCCTCGATGAAATCACTAAAGAATGATTTGTCTACTGGAATCGCCTACAGCACCGAAAATTCCCAACAACAATGTGAATCCTGGGGGTAAATTACATCGCAAACCATTTCCTCAATCTGGTGGACAGCGAGCTGAAGGTATCCTAGAAATAATTCACTCTGATCTGGTTGGGCCTATGCAAGAAAAATCTATCGGTGGAGCATTGAACTTTTTGACATTCACGGCCGACTTCACAAGAAAGTCTATAGTATATTTCCTCAAGAGTAAGAATGAAGTGATTGAAAAGTTCATAGAGTATAAAGCAATGGTCGAAAATCAAACAAATCGTACAATGAAGTGTCTTCGAACAGATAATGGTACTGAATATGTTAATAACAGATTTCTACATGTATTGAAGCAGTATGGTATCCGGCATCAAACCACAATACCTTATACACCTCAGCAAAACGGTGTAGCTGAAAGACTCAACCGAACATTAGTAGAAAAGGCTAGAAGTATGTTATTGGCATCACAACTGAGTAAGGAATATTGGGCCGAAGCAGTGAATACAGCGGTATACCTAAAGAACCGATCTTCTATAAAGGCACTTCATCATGCACCACCTGAGGAGGCTTGGACTGGCAGAAAACCGAATTTTTCGAATCTTCGAATTTTTGTATGTAAAGCTTTCGTACATACTCCAAAAGAGAAGGGAAGAAAATTGGATGCTAAAGCCGAGGAGTTTATTTTTGTAGGATACAGCGAGAATTCGAAGGGATACAGATTCATTCACCCAGTATCTAAAAAGTTATCAATGGCTCGAGATGTAATTTTTCTAGAAAATCAAATTTCACATATCACCCAAAATGCTTGTATGGAATGATTCTCTAGTAATTATGTTGAAGAAGACGACATTCAACACCAATTCCGAATAACAGAAACTGTTGTGGAAGTGGGGGAAAGTCCGTCTAGATCAACATCCGATGGTTTGGCGAATGATGATCAATTCAGAAATTGGACATCAGACACTGAGGAAGAAGAAATACGAATGATAGCCGAGAAAGTAGAAACACCCATTATTGAAAATGAAAGTCAACCCAGAAGATCAACACGTACGAATCGACCGAATAGAATGATTTTCGACGAAGACTACTTTCCAGAACTGTGGAAGAAGCACTGAATGGGCCTAATTCAATTCGCTGGAAAATGGCTAGGGATGAAGAACTGAAAGCTCATTCCGATAACAAAACCTGGTTGATTCGTGATCTTCCTGCTAATAAGAAGGCAGTTAGAAGCAAATGGACTTTCAGAACCAAATTCACAGTAGACGGTGAAATTGAACGGTGCAAGGCTCGACTGGTAGCAAAAGGTTATTCGCAAATACCTGGCATCGACTATGAAGAGACCTTTCCTCCTATTGTGAGGTACAGCTCCATAAGACTACTTCTATCGCTGGCAGCACAGAATAACTGGGATATAGACCAGATGGACGTGGTCACTGCTTTCCTACATCCAAAGCTGAACGAGGAAATATATATGGAACTACCGAACGGAAAAATATGTCGTCTCTTGAGAACACTGTATGGGTTGAAACAATCAAGTAGGACCTGGAATCAAGAACTGGATAGGGCTATAAAAGATTCACACTTTCAGCAGTTCAACATAGATTCCTGTATTTATTTCAAAACAAGATGGTGAAATTCTTATAATTGCCATTTATGTTGATGATCTCCTAATTTTCTCTGAAGATGAAAATCAGAAGATGCAGTTGAAAATCAAACCTTATGAAGAGATTTCGAATGAAAGACTTAGGAAAGGCGCATTAATGCCTTGGAATGCGTATTGAACGTGACAGAGAGAATAATTTGATAACATTAGACCAAGAAGAATATATAGAGGAAGTACTGGCACGATTCAAAATGAGTGATTGTTATGGTGTTCAGACTCCACTTGACCCAAACCAGACTCTTTCCAAAGAAATGCAACCTAGTGATGAAAAGGAAAAGCAAGAAATGTCTACAGTTCCATATCAGGAAGCTATAGGCAGTCTCATGTATGCAGCCCAGTGCACTAAACCGGATATTGCATTCGC